CAGGCCCGATAGAGCTCAGGCCTGCACTCCAGTCTGAGCCAGTCAGCGCGATCGTCGTGATGCAGTTTGGCTCCGGGGTGGATTTGGCTTGACACCGTTCATTTCTGCTAAAGAGGGAAGAAAAATACATCTTTCTAGCTATTTTGCTACAAGGTTTACATCACGCGTTTTATTTGAAGCAAAATGGTTAATTATAGTTTAATATAATGGCTCTTAATGGTTATGGAGTGTTAAAAAATACTGGGGAAAAACAGTCTGATACATACAGATACTTCTCTCATTAATCAACTGACCTCTCACACTAATTTGAGCAAAATAAATAAATAAATAAATAACACCGTGAGAGTCTTTGTTGTGGTGTTGTGGTTGCTGTATGATGGCCAACTGGAGATGAGTCAGCTGTATTTCTCGGGAGATGCATTTCTGGTCTTATCGGGTTACAAGCTATTGAAGAACTCAATGTGAACGCTTTTAATAGGCCGCATTATTTATTCTCAGGTCCAAGTAAATGCTCTCATCAATGGAACTCACACAGACGGCAATACAGCACGCTGTCTGTTAGTTCAGGCTTCTTTTTTGCTTTTTTGCTTTTTTCTCGTACCGAGCAAGGCCCCGGCTTTGTGTTACGGCGATGAACTCTGATACTGCAGCCTGAGGAAACACTGAACATGGTGTGCACATCGCACAAAGTGCTAGTGACAAGGCAATGTCAACAAACCGTTTACAGCAATTTGAGCCTTTGTTACCGCCTCACTTAACCTACATTTACAAAAACAAATAAAAGCCGAATGATTTCAAGCATTTTTTTGTAAAGATGAGGAGAACTCAGATCAGCCAAAAGTTAAAATAACGAAATTTATTAATTCTACTTACGGTATGTTTAGAGGATAGTCCTCTAGACCTGACCAGACCCAATCATCTGGGTTTAATTCAGGCTGACATATCACTAATTACCTGTCACGTTTTTCCAGTTCAAACTACGTATTTTATTTTCTTAATGAATAAATCTCGCAGCGAAATATAGTTTTCTTAAAGAGAACATAGCCACGGGTCAGACTGTAACATCACAGATGCAAAATCATGAATGAGTGAATGTGAGTGAATGAATGAGTATGCTGAATGAAGGCTTCAGCCTGCAATAGAGCCACTAAATGAGCTGCGGTTTTCAAACACAAGCTCAAATTCTACGTCTTACCACCTTTTAGCAAAGACAAAACGCGCGAGATCATATCCCCTGATCAATCAATCAACCCCAAAGCGATGTTTGAAACCCCGATCCAGGTAATCCCAGAAATAATTAAGTTAACTATTACGCTGCTCCGCGTCCTCTTCTTCTTAAAAAGAAATGACATTTGATAAAAGAAGAAATAATTACACCTTTTATTCCTACATCATACAATCTGGTCCGGAGAGCTTGGGGTTTCGTCAAATTCCAGCTTCCTTTTATATGGGTAAAGTTATGCAAGGTTTGAGGCCCCCGGAATGCCATTGGTTGTTGGGATGAGGTATTATAGATTATGGGTTGGGGGTGGTGGGGGTACTGCAAGCACCTCCCCTAGAAATGCAGCAAATCTCTCCCGTTTTCTCCTGGTGGGGCACTGGGAGGGCTGGAGACGTGCTTTGCATTGGCAGGCTGGTGAGGACACGTGTCTCCTCCCTGCCTCCCCCCCGGGCTCCACGGTACCGCATTGGCATCAGTAAAGGCACCTGAAAGACGAGAAGTAACTCCTGGAAGCGCTGCCTGCCACCTTATAACCCAAAAGAAAGCGATCTTACAGGCCTGCAAGAACCTGTGGCTCGCCTTTTGTCGTGCGTAAAGCTTTTGCGCACGCCGCTGAACTGCCTCAGAGACTGAGAAGGTGCGCTACGCGTCGAGCATCAGAGCGCAGTGCCAAGATGCAGAAACGGAGCAGCGACGTCTGAAGGTGACATGAACCTGAGGATAACGACAGGCTGCAGACGAGCAGTGACTAAAAAGTGGAGATAGCAACTGAAAACCGACGGTGTCTTCAACCAACATTTGCGCTTTCCCTCGTGGCTTTATCTAATGCAGAGAATCAAGAGCTGCAATCCAAAGTAGCCTCATTTTTTTTACTGACTGGAGGAGACAAACACTAATTAAGCTGCAGACAGTTCGGAATCCGGAGAGGTTCGAAAAATGGCGACGTTAATCAGAAGCAAGCTTTCCAATAAACTGACAAATGCAGCCACGGCTGTGTCCAACAAATCCCAGGCAAAGGTGAGCGGGATGTTCGCCAGGATGGGGTTTCAGGCCGCCACCGACGAAGAGGCTCTGGGTTTCGCCGCTTGCGATGACCTGGACTACGACCACCGGCAAGGCATGCAGATGGACATTTTAACATCCGATGAAATGGGGGGAGAGGGGAGCGGAGATGGAAGCGCACTGGAGGGGGACAGCCACTACCAGAGGGACGGCACCGGTCCACCGCACTCTGCCTCAAAGGACGGAGATCCGACGAACGAGTTGACCGAAGTCAGACCAAAAATCACCGCTTGGGAGGCGGGCTGGAACGTCACGAACGCAATCCAGGTAAAAACGCACTCCCTCCACGGATTGTTCTGGGTTCCAAATGGCTGAGCCGCTTCCGAAGCATCCGAGAAATTCGAGATAAATAAATATCTATGAACACATCAAAATAATTATACACAAAGAAAAAAATCAGCAGGCTTTTCCCTTTGAAGCAACTTTGTGAAGTGGCTGGTTTTTAAATTAAAGTCTGGCAAATATCCACTTTCTTTAAACCTTTTAAGTGAGTTCTCATGATCTCTGATCACAACAGTG